GCCCCTCGGCGCGGAGCGGCTTTAGACGCTCTGGCCGCGGTTTCCCCGACCCATCGTCCTGGCTCCCCGTCCCCTCGCGTCTCCCCCTGTGCCTCCGCTGCTGCCTGCAGCCTCCAGCCGACCCCTTCCCCCCGTCCCGGCGCTGCGGGCCGGCCGCTGGAGCGGTGTCCGGAGCGCGGGGGCCGCTCGTGTTTCGGGTGTGTTGGTCTCGAGTGTGCACTATGCAATTGCTGCCACCCTGCCTTCGTGTTACCAGCGAGCGGAGCGGCTGACAGAGACTGCGAGCGAGGCCGCCAGCCGCCCCTCGGGACAAACCGGGAGTCGTGGCATGCTGGTTCTGGGGGGGGTCTTTTAAGAGTTTTGACATGAAGGTTAGTAAGAGGTGAGCAACCCAAACTTGCTGCCAAAGCGTTGCCGTACTAGTTAGTCAGCAACTTATCATTAGCCGCATCTCGCTCGTTCTGTTGCAGTTGTGCCTGAATGGGGCTTTCGCCGCATCTGCTATTAAATTTAGGGAAATAGCAGGCTGAATACGTTCGGTGGTTTACAGCACTCCCTCTTGCACACCCATATTCCGTGTAACAAAAGCGTGCCAGCAGCCGTCTCTTACTCTGTAACCTAGCGACATTAAAAAAAAAAAAAAAAATTGTTTCTGAGTTGTTGGCTATACTGAACAATGCAACTTTTGTTTTAAAAGAGCTCTGCACTGCCATCTTTGAAAGACACTTTTAAACTCGAGAACATGTATGTACAAATATCCTGAAAAGTTTTATTGCCTCGTCGTATCAGGGTGCTGACCTCTGATAAATCTTATATTAAAAAAAAAAAAAAAAAAAAAAAAAAAAAAAAGTATTTAAAACTGGGATTTGTTACCAGTCGCTCTTCATTGTATATAGAATTTTATAAATTGTATGCTTTGGGGATAATTTATTTAAAAAAAAAATAATAAAAAGTTTTAATTTCACGTCCTATTTGCCAGGTAGCTGCATTTGCTATTAGTTTCTGGAAAGGTAAAGATTTCACTTTATGTTTAAAGGGAT